CATTTGCCCTTCAGGCAGGTGAGCTAAAAATGAAGAAATTTTAGCACACTGACTCCTTTGAGCCCTGCCCTACAGCCCTTGGGGGTAGGGCTGGCTCAAAATGTTCAAAGTATCAAACTGTCAACTCAGGGTTATGATTCCAATCAAGTTATCAACATGTAATATCCAAAGTATCATTTGCCATTATTAACCATAACAAATTTTGCCATCCCCTCCTTCCCCTTCCCCAGGAGTACCGGTAAACGTGACCTCCTAGGGTCATGAAATTCACAATTTTGGTAGAACACCTTAAGACGCTTCCATCTATGAAGAGTATTTGATTCTACCATATCTGGTCTTGAGAAGAAGATTTTAAAATTTCAGTCAATTCAACCTTTTTTAGCCCATCCCATCAGCCCCTGGGGGTCAGTCAGGGCTGATATGTGCAAACCATCAAACTGCTATCCAATACTGATAATGCTTACCGAAATTGAATGACTTCCAATGGAAATTAAACAAATGTTGGTCCAAAATGTGATTGCCCTATATAAACTTTAGTAAAGTTTACCCCCTCCCCTGAGGGGGAAACTTGAGACCCAAGCGTCATGATTGGTTAAACACCTTAGGACCCTTCCATCTATGAAGAGTATTTGATTCTACCATATCACGGTCTTGAGAAGAAGATTTTTGAAATTCAGTCAATTCAACCCTTTTTGGTCCCACCCATCAGCCCCGTGGGGTAAGTCAGGGCTGATATGTGCATACCATCAAACTGCTACCCAATACTGATAATGCTAACCCAAATTGAATTACTTCCAATGGAAATTAAACAAATGTTGGTCCAAAATGTGATTTCCTTATATAAACTATAGTAAAGTTAACCCCCTCCCCAGGGGGAAACCTGAAACCCCAGGTTCATGAAATTCACAATGTTGGTTAAGCACCTTAAGACCCTTCCATCTACGAAGAGTATTTGATTCTACCATATCACAGTCTTGAGAAGAAGATATTTGAAATTTCAGTCAATTCAACCCTTTTTGGCCCCATCCATGAGCCCCTGGAGGTCAGTCAGGGTTGATATGTGCATACCATCAATATAATTACTTCCTATGGAAATTAAATAAATGTTGGTCCAAAATGTGATTTCCCTATATTAACCTATAGTAAAGTTTACCCCCTCCGCAGGGTCAAGAAATTCACAATTTTGGTGAAAATTTAAGATCCTTCCATCTATGAAGAGTATTTAATTCTACCATATCTGGGTCTTGAGAAGAAGATATTTGAAATTTCAGTCAATTCAACCCTTTTTGGTCCTGCCCCTCAGGCCCCTGGGGGCTGGGGACCATATAATTCACAATTTAGGTTGACCTTTGGCCATTGAAGGTTTCTGCAAAATTTCATTGCAATTGGATCAGGGGTTTTGGAGAAGAAGTCGAAAATGAAAATTGTTTACGGACGGACGACGGACGATGGCCAACGACGGACAAAAGGCATTCACAATAGGTCACTTGAGAATTTGTCTCAGGTGACCTAAAAAAAATACTTATAACATTGTCATATTAAATACTGACTTCCGACTCACAATTGGTTCCTCGTAGTCACAAACTTTCTAACACCCTGGTCCAAAATGTCCGGCTGGGTAATCCCCATGACATCAACATGCACATTAAACTCAGAGAACCTGTTTAATGCCACAGGGCACATTATCCACCAACTTATCATCATTTACATCATTCAACTGCTGTACATTTAACTTCAAATGAGCTCTATGCCTACTACTACTGCCTATGGGTGCTCGGCCGACGGGTGCCCTGGATGGTTATTAAAGTAACCGATGGTTTGAAATAGTGCAGACAATTTTTTTTTTAAATATATAATATGCGGTGTTTAATGCGAAAAAAATTCAAATAAGATCATCTTTCAAAAATGAAAGGAATGTCAAGTGTTCTAGATTTTAGATATATATTTTCGTTTCAACAAAATCAGCTGATCTGCAGAAGTTGAACATTTGAAGTTTGTGTGTAGGCTGGAGTTCTGGCTGTTCCTTTTTTATGGTTTTCTAATATTAAATCTACAGAAAGTGTTGTAGCTTTTTTATTGTAGTTCATCATTACGTAAATATATGAATTGAAAGTAAAAAATAATATGTACATTGCGGCAATGAATAGCTGCTTATCTACATATCTTCTGAGGATATGTAGATCAGCTATTGCTATTTATTGCCGCAATGTACATGAAAAAATTCAATTCAATTCCTATATAGCAAATCTGGGTCTGGAGAAAAAAATTGTTGAAATTTTGGCCAATTTTACCCTTTTTGGCCCCCTGGGGGTGATTCAGGGTCTTAATTTTCATACCATCATATTGCAATTAAATAATGTTGATTCCGACCAAGTTTGAATTATATCCTACTAAAAATAGACAAAATATACCCAAAAGTGTATATTTCTATATAAACTTTACCCCTTCCCCAGAGGGGAACGGATAACTCAGGAGTAATAGCATTCACAATTTTGATAAAGCACCTAGAGACCTTTCCAACCATGAATTGTATTTGATTCAAGCATATCTGTGTCTGTAGAAGAAGATTGTTGAAAATTTTGCCAATCTGACCCTTTTTGGCCCCACCTCTCTGAGGCCCCTGGGGGTTAGATCCATATAATTCAAAATTTGGCTTTTTCTTTGAATAAAGAACATTCCTGCGAAAATTCCCCATTGAAATCGGTTCAGTGGCTTTTGAGAAATTATGTACGATGCACGCCAATGGACGAAGACAGACCGCATGAGCAATCAAGCTAGCTTAAAAGTAAAACCTTTCCTATAAAAAGTGATGAAGTCAAAAACTAAATGGCAAATGTACAATTACCTAAAGGTACCAGTCATTTGATAATGTTTCATAACAAAGAGGCGCAGAGGACCTGTATCGCTCACCTGGATAATAAAGCAACCATGGGAAATTACTCTTATTACATAAAATCCCCTCAAATTATACAAAAGGAGAAGGATTGTAAATATCAAAAACCTCAAATTTCACTATTTGGCCCCATTCCTCTCCACCCAAAGGGGCCACACCCTCCATTTATATAAAAATTAGTCCCCTTAGCTCAAGGATGCTCCTGGCCAAATTTGGATGAAATCCCTTCAATAGTACATAGGAAGATGGGTTTTAAAGACTTACCCCCCAGTAAGCCTAAAATTCCCCTATTGGGCCAGCCCCTCTAGCTGCACCCAGAGGGGCCACACCTTCTGTTTATACAAAATTCAGTCCACTTTACTCAAGGATGTTCTAGACCATCTTTGGATAAAATCCCTCCAATGGGACAGAAGGAGAAGGATTTTAAAGATTTAAACCTCAAATTCCCCTTTTGAGCCCTTCCACTCTGCACTCAAAGGGGCCACACCCACCAATTATACAAAATTGAAACCCCTTGGCCCAAAGATGCTCCAGACATAGCTAGGATAAGATCCCTTTATCCCTACGATAGAATAAGGACTTTAAAGGTTTTACCTCTATTTCCCCTATTGGGCCAGCCCTTCTTCCCTCAGGGGGTCCAAACCCACCATTTATACAAAACTGAGGCCCCTTGGCCCAAGGATGCTCCAGACCAAATTGGGATGAAATCCCTTAATCCAAAGAAGAAGGATTTTAAAGGTTTACCACTATTCCCCCTATTTGACCTCACCCCTCTGCCCCAGGACGGGAGTCACACCCACCATTTATACAAAATTGACTATCAGGATAATATCCCTTTATCCCTAGAGTAGAAAATAGATTTTAAAGGTTTTACCTATATTTCCTCTATTGGGCCCGCTCCTCTGCCTCCAGGGGGGCCACACCCATCGTTTATATATAATTGAGTCTCCTTCCTTTGCCCAAGGATGCTCCAGACCAAATTGGGATAAAATCCTTTAATCCCTATGGTAGAAGGATTTTAAAGGTTTACCTATATTTCCCCTATTCGGACCCACTCCTTTGCCCCAGTATTCCTCTGCCTCCTCTGTGTCATCTGACCATGTGGAAAATGATATATTTTGTCTATTTAACCCAGATATATTTGGGAAGAATTTCCATTTTCAGGTGCCATTTGTTCAACCGATGATAAAAGGTAAACACTGATGTCATGCTTTATGTCAGATGTCTATTTCAATCAATCAAATCCACCAATACATCAACACATGAAATCAGCAGGCGACAGATTTACAAATACTATTTGAAGTCACCTTCATGGTAAGTTCAGCGCAACATTCTCAACATGTGCTTGACAGGTTTTGAGTAGATTTGTGTTTGTTTGTCCGCTAGCAAATCTTCAAATACATACAAAATTAAATGTGAGTATCAGGTACTCTCATTCCACAAATGAAACTAGTCCTACAACACACTTGTCTCACGGTACATTTGCGGGGAGGTTTTTGACAGAGCATTACAAATTTTGTCTGTTGGAAAATAATACATTCTCACACATTGTCTATCATCCAATAATTTGTGGTTATTAACAAATGAAAAGTGTTGTTACATAGCAAACGTGCTAGAATAACAAATAAATCGCTGCTGCACAACTACCTAAGGGTATCAAATTTCATGAGATTGTATACCAGGAAAATCCCAGTCAAACTTTCGCCCTTCACTGGTAAAATCCATATTTGCCCAGTTTTAATTTTGCCCTATACATTTAATTACCATGTATGATTATGTAGTTTACTTAAATGTTTACTGTAATGAAATATTCACCCTCATTCCGGCGGCGAAAAAGACAAAAATTAAACAGCAGCAAAAATGCCTCGACAGACAGACACACAGGGATGTGGACCTCCAAACTCTAACCAAGCTACTTAGTCACAAGCAATCATCTGACCTAGTCCCTGCATATTTCTCTCCCTCTTCTAAGTTTTATTCTAAAACAACCGACTATTTACAATCCAGGTAATATGACATAAATATCTCCTTTTAAAAAATAATTTTGTCATTTTGATAAATAAATTTGTTACTTTAATTCTGTTGTTCTAGTCAAAGTTGTACTTACCTAATATTTTTGTCCTTGGCTATGGGACCTGTTAGCTGGACCTCTGTAACCTGTGAATAACCTTCAGCTGTGACCTTTACTTTCATCCCCAATCCCAAAATGCCTTTAAGCACATTGACCTGAAATGGTTCATCCTCTGACCTTGAAGACTTGGCCCCTGCCATGGAGGTTGTTGTGAGAGCAGACCCATGTAGGGTGGACAGAAGGGAAGGTCTAGTGTTGATAGTTGTACTATATTTCACAGGCTTGGGCTGGAAGTTAGTAGTGATTTTCAATGGTTTAATGGAGGACAACGGTTTCATGTTACCTGAGGTCTTGGTTTTCTGGGACCTTATAGTACTCAGGAGACTTGGCTTGGTCACTGCAACAGATGTTGTGTATTTTGTTGATTGTTTTGGTGCAGATTCTTCAGGTGGGTCCTCTTTCTTTACAGGCTTAGCCTGTTTATCACCCTCAGACATTTGTGATGCACAAGACGAAATTGAGGTGGGAGACAGCACAGATCCAGGAGATTTTGGGGAGACTGATGGAGATTTGGTGACATTTATTTCAGTTGTTGATGATTCTGATTCTTTGCTAGTATCCATGGATAACATCACAGCTGGAGATGCAGCCCTAGGTGGCGAGGATGGAGATTTTCTGTCTGGATATATACCTTTCCTTGACCTCGGAACAGGAGATCTAGGTACAGGAGATTTAGATGGGGTGGAATCAGTACCTGACTTCATGGTAGGAGAATGGGTCAAGGCCAATGGAGACACCAAAGGTGATGTTAATGAAACAGAAACACTCTGCGGCATCAAAGACTGGCCTCCACAAGGGTTTGTATCTATCAAAACAGCATTTTTTAAGGTCACAGTATTTTCATGTGGCAGAGGCTGATTTGGATCGCAGTCTATATTTACAAAGTTGTTAACATTGTTATCTTCAGCAATACACACAATTGTTTTGTGAGTTGGCTGTGGATCTGTCAGATTCCTCTCGGACATTCCTCTGTCTGTTTTTGTTAGGTTTTCTTCCAGTATTATTGAGACATTTTCTTCCTCATTTTCATCGGTTAATTCCTCTATTCTTGAGGTGATCATATGTTCCTTTTGTCTAGAGTTCTTCTCCAAACTTTGCCAATCATGAATCTTTTCAACACTGACATTGATGATATTTTCACCTGAAACAGGCCTAGATTTTTGCTGGTTATTCACAGGTGTCACTGTGACCCCAACATTTTCACCAGAGACAGATGTAGACTTGTTGTCCACGGCAGTGACAGAGAGCTCACCAGAGACAGATGTAGACTTGTTGTCCACGGCAATGACAGAGAGCTCACCAGAACTAGAGACAGATGTAGAGAGCTGGTTTGTAGATAGCCCTGTAACACTACTGGCTTCTGTTGATGAAATATTGGTTTCAATTTTTTCTGATTTTATGTCAGATAAGACATTTAATACACCTCCTTCACCCTCTTGTCCATCACACGATTTTGATGCTTTTGTCCACTTATCTGTCATAAGAACAAGCTGAACAGCTCTCCATGCATTTTCACGTTTTGCTTCCTCAGGAATGATAAATGTCTCCTCAATATCAGTACCCAGTTTTTCTTCCAGAATCCTCGAACCTTGCTCTTTCTTAACATAGATAGGAGAAACTATTTCCTCCATGCTTTCTTCTGATTCACTAGATTTGGATTTTCGTGGTTGGAGTTTAGGTCGAGACGGTACTTTTTCTCGTGGAAGACTTGTATCAAGGTGTGGCATAGGACTTTCATATATAGGCACTTTATTTTCTCTCTCAATTGATGCAGGAATAATAACCTCTTCATCAACAGAAGATTCTGGGAGGTCAAACACTGAAGCTGGTAGTTTGCTGAACTTACTGTACTTACCCCAGTTAGGGGGGGTAGACATTTCTCTTTTTACCTGTACAGGCACAATGTTTTCATCATAATTTAAGTTTGTCACCACATTTTTGCCTAAATTTGTATCTCCATGAATAACATTTTTCAGTTCATATTTAGCTTGGTCTCCATCACTACGTGATGAACCATTCGCCCTCTGGTTTGAAGGAGGGTTTCTCGGTTTGTTTTGAGAGTTGTATGTGACACAAACATTGGATTGCTCCACAGATTCAGCTCCATGAGATGTGCTTTGTTTGTACGACATAATGGAGTCATCCTCTGATGTTAAATAGCTATCAAAAACATCCATGACTTGCCTTTGTTCTCTGAGTGTGTCATATCCATAACTGTTCATTGATTTATCTGGAAATTCTAAGGAAGCTTCATCAAAATTGGTCTGTTTCACTTGAGAAGATTTATTTTCTTTTCCATTTTGTGTACTTAAGTCTAATTCCAGTTCTTGTGAACTTTCCTGAATTTGTGTCAAGGAATTCCCTCTTTTTCTCTCCTGTGATCGATCTAAGCCACTGGAAACATCTCTAAGCTGTAAACCCTTGTTGTAAGGCTCAACCCTGAAAGATCCGGAGATTGATGGTGCATAGTCACTAAGAATATCGTCAATATTTGTTGTTGGGACATGTTCGTCACCTGTATCACTAGCTCCTGCCTCACTCGTCAATCCAGCATCATCAGAGAACTCAGCAGGAGGTGGCAGCGCCAGGCTCCAAGGATCAGAGGAATTTGATGCCATTTTTGCCTTAACAAGTTTTTGGTGTTGAGATTTCAGAGAGTAGTCAGAATCTTGGTCAGACACATTGGATTCGGAAGTGTATTTCTGAGGTGGATGTCTGGTAGGCACACGGTTTTGTTGCTTGACGTTCTTAGCAAACATTTGATTAACCCTATCAGAATTACTCTTGTCATGATTAAAATGAAATCCACTCAAAACAACATCATTATCACTCTCAGATTCAAGTCCAGAATTTGGATAAATCTCCTGTTCCTTTGATGATGAGACTTTTGATTGTTTAGATCCTACACCATTGGCAACGATCACTGATATTTCCATAGGAGTGTCATTCGCAGTTTGGCGAAGGACTTCTAGTTCAAGATCACCGTGTTGAGCCTCATTTTTGAGAATACTCAAACATTTAGCCTGGGCAAGATTTTGTAGACTAACTGCATTACAGGACACCAGACGATCTCCAACCTTGAGTTTGGTCGACCTAGCTGCTGCTCCACTGGGTAGTAATCTCTTTACCTGGAATAAATAAATGAGTTGTTTATAGTGATTGTTATACAATGTATAAGGAAAAACAAAACAGCATGTGCCTTTCCATCAAAATTATGACTTCAGCCAACTTATAATCGGCATAAATATGCAGCCAGGTTACATGTAGTACTGACAAACACTGGGATGTTTCTAACATAAAAGATGAACAAACCTTGAGACATACTCATAATAATACATAATCATGACAAAAAGACATCTATATCAGTTAATGTATGTAAAGAAGCCGCTAACATTTGGATAGTGTTCAAGGAGAAAACATTTGACCTTTACCCCAAACCATACTGTTTACATATAAGAGAAAAGAATTCAAATTCAGGCATGCCTTTATCTGCGACAGACAACAAATGTGTATGGATCAGTATTGAAGTTTAAAGGAATTCATCGACACCATGTCTGGTTGTACCCAACACCGAACATTATAAAGGGTCAACTCCAAAGAGTTAATCTCACATATCCTTTAAGTAAATAAATCTAGATCTTTTTCAAGAGAAAGAGCCTGCAGCAACAAACTTTTCATATATTGCTTTTAACAATTGTGGTAAGTTAAATCTGAACCGCAATACCTATTTTCTATAGGATTTTTTAAACCATGCAGTAAGTAATACTGTCAAATTTTTTTTCAACTCTGTGGTGGAAATGTTTTATTTGTATTTTGCTTTTATCTCTTACGAACTACACATGTGTTATGAAAGAAACCATATCAATTTTGTAAGATATAAACCAGGTTTGAAAAATATATACATGTACACATTTAATGATAATATGCCAAGTTTATGATCTCCTTAATTCAAATCAAAGAAGAGTTGAGCAGTAAAGTGTGACAAAGAAAATGAACATATTTACATCTCATATTTTATTGTTATTTTGTGCTGAGAAAACCCCATTTGATACCAGCCTCAGGTGTACTGCTGTATATCTATGACGTATCTACACATATTTGTCATGCCAGTGAAGATTTACTCAGAAAAAGAAGGTCACATAAAAAACATTTTACAAAAGTTTTCTATTCATTGGTGAGATAACTTTTTGACATGAATGAACACTATGAGATATATGAGAGGAGGGAGAGGGGAGGGGGTAGAAAAGAGGAAGTGAATGGAGACAGAATCGAGGAGGAAAAAAGACATATTTTCATAAGTTGGTAGTCATCAATGTTTATATAAACAACCCTAATTGGGCATCTTTTTATAGACATGTGGTCCTTATATATAGATAGTCTTATAGACATTTGGTATTTATAGACAAATAATCTTACAGACATGTGGTCCTTATTGATAGATAATCTTATAGACATTTGGTATTTATAGACAGATAATCTTACAGACATGTGGTCCTTATAGATAGATAGTCTTATAGACATTTGGTATTTATAGACAAATAATCTTACAGACATGTGGTCCTTATGGATAGATAATCTTACAGAAAAGTGGTCCTTATAGACAGATAATCTTATATACATTTGGTATTTATAGACAGATAATCTTACAGACATGTGGTCCTTATTGATAGATAATCTTACAGAAAAGTGGTCCTTATAGACAGATAATCTTACAGACGTGGCCCTATAGATAGATAATCTTATAGACATGTGGTCCTTATAGACAAGTAATCTTACAGACATGTGGTCCTTATAGATAGATAATCTTATAGACATGTGGTCCTTATAGACAGATAATCTTATATACATTTGGTATTTATAGACAGATAATCTTACAGACATGTGGACCTTATAGACAGATAATCTTACAGAAATGTGGTCCTTATAGATAGATAATCTTAAAGAAATGTGGTCCTTATAGATAGATAATCTTATAGACATGTGGTCCTTACTGGTAGATAATCTTATAGACATTTGGAATTTATAGATAGATAATCTCAAAGACATGTGGTCCTTATAGATAGATAATCTTATAGACATGTGGTCATTAAAGATAAATAATCTTACAGACATGTGGTCCTTATAGATAGATAATCTTATAGACATGTGGTCCTTATAGACAGATAATCTTACAGAAATGTGGTCCTTATAGATAGATAATCTTATAGATATATGGTCCATATTGATATATAACCTTATAGATATGTAGTCCTTATAGACAAGTAATCTTGCAGACATGTGGTCCTTATAGATAGATAATCTTATAAATATGTATGTGGTCCTTATAGATAGATAATCTTATAGACATGTTGTCCTTATAGATAGAAGGCAGCTACATGTAACTTAGGCTAGCTAAGGTTTTTAGCTATATTTTGATTGTAGTTGCTACAATGTTTGGTATATTTGCAACCACTTTGTATAGTATCAAGTTTTTGATAGAAGCCACATGGTGGCTTTTTAATCAGTATAATAAATATAATGTAACCCTTTGGGTGGCCATTTCACTCACATTTCTTGTTTGAGTTATTCTTGTTATGGGTGGAGAGGCATAAATAATCTTATACATATGTGGTCCTTATAGATAGATAATCTTATAGACATGTGGTCCTTATAGATAGATAATCTTATATATATGTGGTCCTTATAGATAGATAATTATGTAGGCATGTGGTCCTTACAGATAGATAATCCTGTGGGCATGTGGTCCTTATAGATAGATAATCTTATAGACATGTGGTCTTTGCAGTGTATTATGCTGTATAATAAATTATGATCACACAGCTATAGTGTATTATACAGTATAATAGCTTATGATCACACAGCTACAGTGTATTATACTGTATAATAGCTTATGATAAAACAGCTACAGTGTATTATACTGTATAATAATAGCTTATGATCACACAGCTACAGTGTATTATACTGTATACTGTCTTATGATCACACAGCTACAGTATATCATACTGTGAAATAGCTTATGATCACACAGCTACAGTGTATTATACTGTATAATAGCTAATGACCTCACAGATATAGAGCATTATAAGCTATAATAGCTAATGATCACACAGCTACAGTGTATTATACTGTATAAAAAATTATGATCACACAGCTACAGTGTATTATACTGTATAATAGATTATTATAAAACAGCTACAGTGTATCATACTGTATAATAGCTTATAATCACACAGCTACAGTGTATTATACTGTATAATAGCTTATGATCACACAGCTACAGTGTATCATACTGTATAATAGCTTATGATCACACAGCTACAGTGTATTATACTGTATAATAGCTTATGATCACACAGCGACAGTGTATTATACTGTATAAAAAATTATGATCACACAGCTAAAGTGTATTATACTGTATAATAGATTATTATAAAACAGCTACAGTGTATTATACTGTATAATAGCTTATGATCAAACAGCTACAGTGTATCATACTGTATAATAGCTAATGATCACACAGCTACAGTGTATCATACTGTATAATAGCTTATGATCACACAGCTACAATGTAGTATTCTGTATAATAGCTTATGATCAATCAGCTACAATGTATTATACTGTAAAAAAGCTTATGATTACACAACTACAGTGTATCATACTGTATAATAGCTTATGATCACACAACTACAGTGTATCATACTGTATAATAGTTGATGATCACACAGCTGCAGTGTATTATACTGTATAATGGATTATGATCACTCAGCTACAGTGTATTATTATGTATAATAGTTGATGATCACTCAGCTACAGTGTATAATACTGTATAATAGCTTATGATCACACGGGGCTGGTTATCCTAGTGTATAATACTGTATCATAGCCTATGATCACACAGGACTTGTTATTCTAGTGTATAATACTGTATCATAGCCTATGATCACACGGGACATGTTATTCTAGTGTATAATACTGTATCATAGCCTGTGATCACACAGGACAATTTGTCCTAGTGTATAATATTGTATCATAGCCTATGATAACACAAGACTTGTTATTCTAGTGTATAATACTGTATCATAGCCTATGATCACACAGGACATGTTGTCCTAGTGTATAATATTGCATCATAGCCTATGATCACAAAGGAGATGTTCTCCTATTGTATAATACTGTATCATAGCCTATGATCACACAGGACCTGTTATTTTAGTGTATAATACTGTATCATAGCCTATGATCACACAGGACAATTTATCCTAGGGTATAATATTGTATCATAGCCTATGATCACACAGGACTTGTTATTCTAGTGTATAATACTGTATCATAGCCTATGATCACACAGGACAATTTGTCCTAGGGTATAATATTGTATCATAGCCTATGATCACACAGGACTTGTTATTCTAGTGTATAATACTGTATCATAGCCTATGATCACACGGGACATGTTATTCTAGTGTATAATACTGTATCATAGCCTATGATCACACAGGACAATTTGTCCTAGGGTATAATATTGTATCATAGCCTATGATCACACAGGACTTGTTATTCTAGTGTATAATACTGTATCATAGCCTATGATCACACGGGACATGTTATTCTAGTGTATAATACTGTATCATAGCCTATGATCACACAGGACATGTTATTCTAGTGTATAATACTGTATCATAGCCTATGATCACACGGGACATGTTATTCTAGTGTATAATACTGTATCATAGCCTATGATCACACGGGACATGTTATTCTAGTGTATAATACTGTATCATAGCCTATGATCACACAGGACATGTTGTCCTATTGTATAATACTGTATCATAGCCTATGATAACACAAGACTTGTTATTCTAGGGTATAATACTGTATCATAGCCTATGATCACACAGGACAATTTGTCCTAGTGTATAATATTGTATCATAGCCTATGATCACACAGGACATGTTGTCCTAGTGTATAATACTGTATCATAGCCTATGATCACACAGGACATGTTGTCCTAGTGTATAATACTGTATCATAGCCTATGATCACACGGGACATGTTGTCCTATTGTATAATACTGTATCATAGCCTATGATCACACGGGACATGTTATTCTAGTGTATAATACTGTAT